TACACAAACACTTTCATGTACTAAAAAGTAATCATTGCAATGCATCATTTGTAAAGTATTATTTGTGTCCATTTTGCACCTTTATCATCATGAAAATTCGAAGGCAATGTAAATCCATATTTTCATTTTTATTACTACCTCGAATATTGCTCATAAACAACAAAAACTGGTTTATATATTAACTGAAAATATATATAGTGGGTCGAAAAATTATTCGTTCACCCCTATATTTGTTTTTCTTTTCTTTTAGTATGAAAGCAAACTTCGGAACTCCTGTAAACAGTATATTGTAGCACATCATCTCTAGTATATATGCTGTTACTTTCAGATTTGTAAGTCTTGTCATCTTTCTTTCATGGAAAAATTATTCGTCCAGATAGAGAAAATCTTATTTTACTCCGTGAAATATCTGGCAATTACTCGATTTTTGGTCAGAATGTTCCGAAATGTTTCAGTCGAATGTCCCAGAATATGTACTTGTATTATAAATAGACAACTGAGTTGTTGACCTTACTAAATATATCACATGACACCAAGGAAGAAAGAACACAGCAATGACCTTAGAACTCTGACAATTAAACATTATCAGAATGGTAACTCCTAACGTGAAGTGGCAGCAAAAACATTACTGTCTCGATCTACAATGGGATATATAATCAAAAAATACAAGCAAACAAAATGTGTTGGACATTTCTTTGGACGTGCACACTAAGTTAAAATGTGTCGCAAGTGTCGTGTTTTGCGACACATTGTACGACGCATTTTCTCCAGCAGGACCACGACACATTTCGTACGACACATGCGACACATTTTCTATTGGTCCTTTTGGAAAATCATATTTCGATGTTTTTTTTTTCAATTTAATTCCATTTAATTATTCCTATTTTGAAAACTCAAGCTGGTCAGATCCTGTGATCTGTTCGATCTCGAATTGATCTGATTTGTATCAGACCGCTTCAGAGTAGTCCTCTCACGATCATAGATCGAGATTGGCATTTTCTCGATAAAAAAAATAATCGAGAAATAATCTAGAAAATAAAAATAATTTGAAATTTTTTTTTCTATGTTAAACCACGTTGTTTATATATGACCATGTGTGCATAACAAAATGGTGAACGAATAGTCAGCAGACAGAACGCGGCAAATTCGTATACGACACATTCTAAGCACGACACATTTTTCTGCTGGAGTGTGCGACACAATAATTCACGACATATAAACACGACACATTTTTATTTAGTGTATGGCCGAAAAAGGAAAACAACAACAATGATCGACCGACTGATCCAACGTAAACTTAAGCTCAATCGACGAAAACCAGTTTTCGTGGTGAAGATTGAGATCGAAGATGAGCCAGGAGTTTCATTACATGCTGGTACAATTCGGAAACCAGCACATGAAGAAGAATTATTTAGTCGAATAGGCCGTAAGAAACCGTATGTGACAAGCATAGTCGAGGAAAACGGTTCAGGTACGCCAATAAAATGCTCAAGAAACCAATTGGATTTTGAGAAAACGTTATTTGGTCCGACGAATCAAAGTTTAATATTTTCGGTTCGAATGATAAAGTTATAGTCTGAAGAAAACCACATGAAGAATATGACCAAAAGTGCACGGTTTCTATTGTCAAGTACGGTGGTGGCTCAGTCATGGTTTGGAGCTGCTTTACTCGCCAAGGAGTTGGAAAATTGTGTGTCTTGGGTCGTATTATGAACAGGTGTTACTGTTGGAATATTTTGAGAAAAAAATTATTGCCATCAATCAAACAATTTAGATTGGACTAACGATCATTTTTATGCATGATAACAATCCTAAACATACCTCAGGATTAATCAAAGATCGATTGAAGGAAAAAAAGATTGAAACACTGCCTTGGCCACCTTATTCACCAGACCTTAACCCAATAGAAAATTTATGGGATGAACTTGAGTGTCATGTGAAAAACATCAACCAAAAAAAAAAAACAAAAACTTGAATTTTTGCTAATGCAAGAATGGAATCAAATTGAATTGTCTGTACTAGAGAAATTTGTAGATTCAGTTCCTAGTCGATTGTGCGAATGTATCAAAATTGAGGATTATTCTACAAAGTATTAATTATAGTTGAACCAATTTTTATTTTTGAAATAAACTATTTTTTTGTGAATACGGTCGAATAATTTTTCATTGTGAAAACTCATGATGTTTTTTGTTAATTTTTCAATAAAAAAGAGATGAAAAGACTTACAAAGCTGAAAGTAACAATATATATACTGGAGATGATGCGCTACAATATACTGTTTATAGGATTTCCTAAGTTTCTTATCACGCGAAAAGAAAAGAAAAAAATAGGGACGGACGAATAATTTTTCGACCGGCTGTACATTACATTCCCTAAACTCTCCCTCCAAAATATACTCAATCTGAAGTTTTGCAGTTGCATTATAAAACTGAGTCGCATTGAGACAACATTACAATAGAGTAATGAAAGTCATTAAACTGTTACCAATTCTACAAAAATAAATCCTTTCGACAAAGGTTTCTAATTATCTACTGAATAGTTAACATTTTAAGCGAAAATTCTTCAGAAAAATTAATTAATACTAATTATATAAAATTAATCTTATTTAATAACTACTAATGATTTCAAAAGACTACTTTTTATCGAAATATAACCTATTAAACTCTGCCTTAACTCGGATTCAATGCAGAATTAAATGAATCACGCAAAGATATAAATATTTGTTTTGAAAATCGCTTTCGATCGAGATATATGAGTAAAATACCGAACTATGTAGAATATTTTGGTTATGAAAAACATTGTATTCGAAACGTTTCAATGCTATATGGAGATTAAACATAAATCCAATATGAGCACTTTTGTAGAGCATCTCAAGTTATATTGTCTGCGCAGAGCTTAGATTCAGGTGTATAGTAATTTCAATGAAACATTCGTACAGATAAATACATCAATTTTAGATGTATATTTAGAAAATGTCTTCTATATATTTACTCTAGCCGAGAAGACTCAAAGGTTTAGATCTTAATGTTTTCGATTCTTTTATACTATAGAATGTTTAAAGTTGTATGGAATCCAGTTAAAGTTCGTTCATTCGCAGGCACTTCGATCTCTGAAAAACTTTGGATTTTATACTGAATTCTCCTTGAAAAAGACATCTACTTTGAGGAAAATTCTAACTATTCAATAGTGATGTTCTATTTAGAGAATAATTTTCAAATATATTGTTTTCACTTTTCGTTGGTTTCTTTATTTTGTCATATATATAAAGCCATGTGTGAACTGCACATGCATCAGTTATACGTAATATGTTTGGATGTAAGATATATGGTCGACAATTATGATAAAAAAATGATTTGATCATTTATACAATTGAAAATTATCGGTCTTTTGAATCCAACAGTATCAACACGAGTTGAATTCACATCAGAACAAGAATTAACTGTCCACCAACTACAAATGACAGCTGTTACAATACCTTATCAAACATTGAGAGTTAGTGTTATGGTTCAAATATGTAGTAATTTAAACAAAATAAAAATATTTCAATGTGGACATGGCGAATATAGTGAAGCTATGTTGCCAGTGAGTGCATACTAGGATGTTCATTGATCTTGAATAGGAAATATATACTTTAGACACTTGAAAAACTTGGTCGAGTTGTTCAACTATATAGTGATAGTGACATTAACGCTGAAGTGCCTAGTGGTTGTTGAATTTCTAATCCTCTTTCTATGATCAAAATTTCTCAATCATATAGTGCACATAATAATGAAAGTAAATCAATATCTTTCTTTGAATTTTATATTCAAAAATATTCAATGATACTTTGGTCATAATGAATATCAGTCTAGTATAAGCTCGTTGTATGTGTGGATGGAAAAAGAAGAAGTTCTGTCATGTGAAAATAAAAATGTTTTAAATTTTTGTGTTGAGAATCAATATCTAGTTTCAAGCAGATACATAGCAGTTTTATATCAATCAAGTAAACTAATTTTGATCATCCAGCTCTGCGAAAGCTGATAACTAGTTCTCATAACTCATCACTAGACTCTGTTCATACCAGTAAAGTCGTCAAACAGTTTTTAGAATTGATTCTCACGATCCAATTAACTGGAAGTTGCGACAAACTTAGTTCTAAACCTATTTTGTCAGACAAAAAGCAGATAAATTCGTCTTGATTCAAGAATTCTATATAGAACAACGTAATACAATGTTTAAAAAATTATTTGAAGTACCAATAACCGATGATGTTCAAGAAGAATTTGTTAAAGTATTAGCAAACGGTAAAATACAGAGAATTTTTTCTCCGGTTATCTTCCGTTTCGTAGAAATGTATTTTAGATAATTTAAGATTTGTATAAGAATTATTGAAACAATCCAATGTTGATATAATCATTTTCAAAATAACAAAAAACGAAAAAAGGTTTTTTATTTTTCTATGATTAGGTCAACCGTATATTTGCTGATCATTCATCTTTACAAGCAGTAGTTCAAAATGGACATTTAGAAATCATTCATTTATTGATTCAACACGATGTTACTTTAGAAATTTAGATAATAAACTATTCTAAAGAAAGAAAATTTTATTCATGAATATATTCCAAGGTCAAGATGGTGATCGAGCTATACGTTATGCAGTATTTGGTGATAAAGCTCAAATATTATTTGTTTCATAATTCGATTCGAAAAATATTTTCTTCAAATCATGAAAAGAGCAAATATTAACGAATCTTTATGTATTGTGATTTTGATCTCTTTTAAAAAACGAAGATTCATCATTAGAAGAATATGGTTGATCGGTTTATTCAAGTTTATGATCAGTCAACTAGTTGCCTATTGGATATGACGTGAAGAAAAAAAGAAAACAAACATTTTATATCTATAAACAATTAATATATGAATCACATCTTCATTAGAGTATAAAAATTTGTATTTTAATTCATATTTATTTCAGGTATTTGTAAGGGCCATTTCGATGTATGTAAAATTCTTTTTATTAAATGATGCTTTCAATGTAATTCATCGTGAATTATTTGATCTTATTTTTGTTTTTCTCTAGTGATAAGCGAAGAAGTAGGAGAACAGATGCCACAAATCTGAAAGCTATCTTTTTCCTAATTGATATCAACACATTAATCAATCGATCAAAACTATATGAAAGAGAGATTAATTGGGTAGGTTTATGAGTAAAATGAAGACCCTCAAATTCATACCCTCAAAATATTCTCTAACTAAGTAGTACGTCTGTCTGTTCAATAAATTATTTCTATTTTCTCTTTGGCAAATTATTTTTGTTATTATTTCTTTTCATGTTTATACCAAGAAATGAAAAGATTGTATAGAAAAGCGAAAACATTATTGCCATATGGATTCATAATTGTCTAGAAAAACACAGACATACCAAAATAAATAGAAACAAAAAAAACAAAACTTTAACTTTTATTTTCTTTTTTTCAGTGCTATTGAATTTATTCTTTGTAAGATTCAAAATCTTCTCTGGCTTGTTGATGAGTATAAAGATGATGGATTTACAGCTTTACATTTAGCTGCACTTAATGATCATGGTTGTGTTGCTGAGTTACTTCTAAGTAAAGGAAATGCATTAGTTGATGCACAAAACAATAGTTCACAAATTGCTTTTCATTTAGCTGTTAGTCACCAACACATCGAAATTGTGTCTGTAAGAAGAATAAATTCTATTCTAAAATAAGAAACATTTTATTCTATTTTTATAGTTGTTATGTAATAAAAATGGTGATACGTGCCTACATGAAGCTTTAAGACATCATAAAATATCACAATTGAAACCCTTACAAAATACCAGAGATAATGTAAAAGTTTATACTAATTTAAAAAGAAAGCTATAGTTCCATAAACTACTGAATCAAGAACATACTTGATGCGACAATTTACGACCAATCTTCCAGATCTTCTCTGTTGAATGATGAAAATCGCAGGTCTCTGGGATATTCCTATTCAAAGTTACGTAAAAAACAGTGAAGCATCCTTTATTTTAAAATGAACAGTAGAAGATTAATTGTTAATTAGATGATGAATATATTTACAAATACGAATGGTTATGATCAACAACCAAGTGTTATTATTGCATTTAAATTAGTTATGCATGGTGCAAATTTATCTATAAGATCAACAATTATCACAAAGTACTAATTCAATTAAATGTTTTATTTGTTCTGATACAAATCGAGACATATTATTTCAACCATGTTCGCATATTGTAACATGTTATTCGTATGTTAGTTGTGTTAAAAAATGTTTATGATGTAAAAAAAAATGGTCAAACCAAAAGCAAAGTAATCCATAAAAATTTGACATAGTTTAATTTGTTTTTTCTTTTCATTTTTCATCGTGAAAGTAAATAAAATGATTTTAAAATTAAAACTAATTTCTTTATTTACTTAATAGAATGTGCTAATGTCATGAAAAAATGTTTTCTATGTCGAGTATCTATTGATTCCATAGTATCGTTTAATTAACTTTGTTGTAAAAATAATGATCCTGTTTCAATAAATTCTGAAATAATATCAACAATAGCAATTACAAGAAATTCATGAACAAGTTGATTGTCCAACATGTATGGATCGTTTAAAACATATGGTCTTTTTATATGATCATGGTGTTTATCAAAATTGTGGTGATCGTGTACAAAAATGTCCAATATTTCGAAAACCAATTGAAAAATCGATTATTTTATACACATAAAGAATAATCGTTTTATTTATGTATATGTCATAGTTTTGTTATAAGACGTAATTTCGTTAGACAACAAGAAAAAAATAAAAAGAATGTCCGTATGACTCAATTTCAATACAATCTCTTTCAGTGAATAGATTCTTATTAAATGTTTGAGAAACTGAAGTCATTTTCAAAAAGCAATGGATATGACTGTTTTTGAATAATTTTTCATCAGAACAATAGAGAGAACTGGAGTTTTTACTGTTCAAGAGAGAAGATCTTCGACTCCTTCATTTTTCTATCATGGTCCGCTCAAGAGTACAAAGGTCTTTCGGACATCTTGATGATTAATTCCATATACAGAAAGTCTTTGTAAACTCTGAACATTTTTGGAAAGAATTAGCCATCTGATAATATTGCACTTAGTGTTCTAATTACGTTATTGTAAACTCATTTCTTTTGTTTGATGAAGAAGACCATTGAAATTTTTTTCTATTTCGTGAAACTTTCAAAAATAGAAATCCATGTTGTGTATGGATATCGATTATCATATACTATTATTCTATACATACGTTGCATAGTATGATCGATAAGAAAAAGGCAAAACTATGAGAATGCGGTTGAATGTGAAGACAAGAACCGTAATCCACGCTCAAAATGGAAAAGTTTGACTTTCTGTCAGACGCAAAGTTGATAACTGGTATAAGATGGAAGACAATACTGAAAGTTTGTTAAGTGTAGGAGAATTATGAAAACAATCATTTTCAATGATGATATGCACAAAAGTGAAATCTTGTTGTTAGCAAAAGTTACTAGATGACGTTTGTAGAGAAAAAACTTGTATCATCAAAGAGCGACATCATGTGTGTCCCTCAAAATGAAGTTGATCTCAACTGATGAACGAATCAGAATTGTATCTAAGTAACAACAACCTACCTCCATTATCAGATCATTATTTTTTCGTTTGTTTAGAATGATGTAGTGCGTTACAACTGCATAGGTCTATGGGGCCATATATAATTTTCCTTATGTTTTTAGATTATAACGGCATTTATTCTTGATTAATATTATTAATCATGTCACAAGCTGAATTTGATAAAGCTGCTGAAGAAGTCAAAAATCTAAGCAAAAAGCCATCTGATGATGAATTACTAAAAATCTATGGTCTTTTCAAACGTATGTTTAATAAAAAATTCAAAAACAAATATTTATATTTGTTTATGTTCTTCTCTTTCAGAAGCAACTGTTGGTGATAACACCACAGCTAAACCAGGCATGTTCGATCTTAAAGGCAAATATAAATGGGAAGCTTGGGATGCTAATAAAGGCAAAAGCAAAGAAACTGCTCAAAAGGAATATATTGCATTAGTTAAAGAACTCAAAGCTAAACAATAAAATTGTGTTAGCACAGATGAAAAAATGAACGTTCCATTTTAATAATTGTTACTTCATTTTGAATTATCTTAATAAAACATCCTTCTATAAGAATATTATTGTTTTTTTATTTCATATAAATTCATTCACTAGATATACATTAAACAGATGAAATATCATACATCGGATCAGAGTTATTACATTTATTGATGTTCAACGATGGAAGTGAAGGAGTAATTGGTTGCTGTTCTATATTAACTGATGATAATGATCGATCTATTGTTGATGTATTTTGTTGTCGAAAATTTTGTCTCCATTCAGTCAAATAATTAAAATAATTTTTCATTTGTTTATATCGATAACAAATAAGAAAAGGTGCAATTAAAATAAGTAATGGTGCAGATATAATAAAAAGTATAATAAAAACAATAAATAAACTAATGATTATGAGACGATGAAGAAATAATGATGCACGAGAATGACCAAGTCTGAATAAATAAAAAAAAAATCGGTTAAAGAATATATGAACAAAATCATTGGTTAGCAACGTGACTTGGAAAAATAGACACATTAAACTGCCCTTATGGAAGCAATTTGGTTTGAGAACCTATCGAACTTGGAAGAAGTTAAGAAAAATTTCTATATGACTCTCTTAGGTGACATCATCTTAGAAACTTATGTTCAAAGAGACATACTTCAATTATTTGTAAAGATAATGCTGGCACTTGTTTTTGAATCTAAAAATCTCTCGTTTAATTTCAACTGATCATCATTTACCTGTGTGAAATGTCTTACTTTTCAGTGAAAGACTTTTCCTATTTCTGTTACTTTACTAACAAATATATATTGTTTCATCTATAGATTGTGTATAATTCGACTTACGATAGAAACTTGTTTTTTTCGTAAATAGAAAGTATGTGGCACAAACGAAATCGGATACATGAAAGAAGTTACCCCTCAAATAATGAAAAGTGATCAATTATTCTATTCAATACTTTACACTATTATTTAGCACAATAATTTTTGTGAAGAATCAAAGTCAAATGAAAGGTGGATATAGCTCATTTCGCTTGAAATGACCCATATAAACATTTAATAAATACATACCGATTTCGACAAGGACCACGTTCGTAATGTAATAGGAAAAAATCATTCTATTTAAAAAGAACTTAAGATAAACAGAAGATTTTGAATGTAAATCATTCTTACATCTAAAGATTTTAAACAATACCAACAAAACATATGGTTACAATTAATACACATTATTTGTGCACAACCAGCAGTCCATTCTAAAGGAAAACGACATCTTGGACAACGTTTTATATTTGATTCAATTTCCATTGCATTTGGCGTACTGAAAAACAAAACTTAGCAAAAACTAAATTTTCTAATACAATCTAATATTTATTTACAGTAAGTCAGAACAATGTTGATGTGGATGCCACTGATAACGGCATTTGAGACAAAATGTGCTTTGGCACTATGAAATTAAAATAGATTCATATAAGATCATGTTATTCGTACTTTTGTACAGGTTATTGGTTGCTTTTTATCCTTTTTTTGTTCATTCGATAATGTCAATACATGGCCACAATTAACTTGTGGACAAAACACTCGTTGAGGATCATTGATCACTTCTAAATTTATTATGAATGAATAATTGATATTTAGTGAAACGAAAAACGAGAATACTATGATCAAATAACCGTTTTGTATAAAGATGATATTCGGAATCAGTAAGCAGAGAACGAATCTAAGAAAACATTAGTATATAAATTTAAAAAATGAGATAAAATCAAATACCTCATTTAAAGTTAATAAATTATCACATTCTGCATTGGGACATCTAATTAATCCTAATCTAAATATGGCAATTTAAAATATGAAATGAATTATGTATATCATTTTTTCTTAGCAGCAAAATCATCTTACGTTGTGTTTACTTGACTGACACAATACTGATGTACACACTACAATATAAAATAGATAATGAGACTCTGCCGAAGAATACATGAATAGAAACAAACCTCTGTACAAAACTGACAATGGCATAATTCTATTTGAAAAACATTTGTTCTATTTTCAATATTATTACAACAAATTGAACATTGAAATATTTGTTCATGGCTTAATTTCAATATTTCTTCCATTATTTCAATCAATAGTTTATCAGAAAGAAAAAAGAAAGAATGATAAAAATAAACTTTCTTTTTACTTTTTCAGAAAAAAAAACAAGATACTGTTAACAAAAAAGAAAATCAGCAATGTAAATATAACTATGTCACACTTTAATCATGTTCACAAGAAAAAAAAATAATAAACAACTAAATCTGTAAGAGTACTTTTTTTTCTTTGTTCACGTATATTTCGGTTCATAAGTCCGTACCAAACAAAAAAGAAAGAAAAACAAACAAGTCTTTCAAGAAATATATACAAACACATAGATTACCCAAAAACAAAAAAATATATCACGCAGAAAAAATAAAAAATAGACTAAATCAAATTACATCTTGGATTGCATCGTTCATTTTTGCTTCATTTTGATCAGATTTTTCTATTAATTTACTATCTGTCATGTCATTTTCATTTATCTTTACTATTTCTTCATCTTTATTTTTATGTTCATTCGCAACATTATTCGTTGCTTGATTTTCTTTAGATTCTGATATGGCAGATGCACCTGAAAAATTCTAATGATTTTTATAAAATTTACAAGTTTATAACAAACTTTTTTTTCGTTTAGTATTAGTCGGCATTTGATGATTAGATGCACGTTTATTTGACGATTTTTTTCCAGGTTTATAAACATAATCTAAGTCATGTTGACTTTTACTATTCTAAAAAAAAACAATTGATTGAAATATACTTTTTCAGAAGATTTGTATTTACTTCAATTTTTTCATTTTTTGTTTCTTGATCATCATCAATAGATTCTTTTGAATTAGTACTGCGTTTTTTCATAGTACGTATTGTTGATTTTTTTCCTGGTATACGTTTTCCTTCATCAATTGGTTCCATTAAAAAATTTAAAATTCGTTCAGCATGATCAGTATTACGACCCGTTGCTGGTAAACCAAGAATATTCGAAATTGATTTTAATTGATCTTTTTTTAATCTAATTTAAGGGGAAATATGTCGTTTGAATAAAAACAATAATTAGAATTATTCTACTTTATTAAATTATTTAAATGCTTTTGATATTCATCACTATTACGTTGAAATTCAAAACCTTTAAATTCTCGAAGATTTTTTCGAATATTTGCTTTATTCTTAAAAAGAAGAAAATCATCTATTTTTTTTTTTCTATGTTTTTTTTTTGTATTATTCTTACTCCTCGTCGACCAAAACAAATACTACGCATTCGAGATAAAGCATCAGTTGAACCATGAGTTATTTGATAATTAACTAAATACGAATTATTTTAGATAAGAAATTTAATTGTTGTTCTACTTACTATATTCGATTTCACCTAATGGTTTACCATTGCCCTAAATAATAAAAAATTCCTGAATTTATTTATTATGCAATACGAACAACCTCAAACCGTAGTCTTTAATGAATGAAAAAAAGAATTTCGAACAAAATATAAATCTAACAATGGAAGTCACTCAACTAGACTTCTTGATGCTGCACTTCTATGATAGTTTGTAAATGAATGCCGTGATATGCAGCTATGATAAAAGCTTGTCTTTTACATTGCTCATATACACCGATAACTTCGATGGTTTTATTATATTCTAAACGTGCAGTATCTTTGTAGCAACAAGTTAACGGCCTGAAAGTTGTTCAGGGTATGCAGAACTCATTTGAGTCTAGAGGCTTTATTTTTTTAAGATTATTTTATTATTAAATTAAATAGACTAACCTGAGGAATAGGTAATTCTTTTTTTGTTGGTATTGATTCAGATATTTCGAGGCGTAATGTTGGTTTTCTTGAACGTTTTCCATTAAGAATAATTGGTTGTTCAAAAAGTGGCGGCGCATCAAGTTCATTTTCTTTCATTTCACTTTCTGATTTAGATGAAGCATCATGTTTTTCTCTTTCATCATCATTTTCGGTCTTTTCAATATTCTTTTGTTTGTCTTCTTTTGATACATTTGCTTCTCCAGAAGAAATAACAACAGCTGTTTCTTCTTCATTTTTTGTATTAATTTTAGTTGGCGATTTTTCTTTTGTTTCTTCTATCGTTGTTTTTCCCTTTATAGCAGAATATATAAGTACACAAAACGAAATTTCTTGGCTTACTTCTTCATTTGTAGAAGTTTCTTTGTTAATATTTAAATCGCTTGCACTTGCCATGCCTTTTCTTAAAATTTATCGATAGAACTAAATGATTTTATCGGCTTCTGTTTTTTCTCTTCGCTCCTCCTCCATAGTACCACTAAATACCAATAGACAAATCAGATCAATAGATAACTACATATATATATAAATGTATATTTGATAGATGGAGCATCAATACATATTTCAAAAATTTACCTGCTGTGATAACAAAACAAGATAAATGATAACTGAAAAATTCATTCGACTAGTTTGAAGTTTTTTTGGTGGCTGAAAATTAATACAATAAAATGCCGTTTCCGACGGTCGGAATGATCGTCCTGAGAAAGAAGGTTTGAACTCTATCACTAAGATTTCATTATCATTAATTGAACTCAAGACTAGAATTGTATGAGAACAACTTTGGTCACATTCTCAATCAAGAATACCGAGTTATTGTTCAATGATTTATGCATTTAAACGTATGATTCTATACATCGTCACAACTTAAATATAATTCAGAAGACATGACAACAAGAGTATTTAAGAATTTTTGTTATGAATAATATACAAATCAACACTGAAATAGTTTTCTGTAGAGTAGAACCAAATCAGATTAAATCGAGACAATGTCCATGACCATTGGAAATAGAAGTAACCGAGATCAGGACTTAAAAAAACTCAGTCCTGCACATCTCTAATTAAGATATACTCTAATCAAAGAAATGTGTTTGAGCAGTTAAAACTGTTGATTGAACAGATTTTTTTCTTTGAAATTTTTAAAGATGTTTTGAAAGTTTACTAAAAGAAATACAATAACAAGCATAAGGATATTTTTAGTCAACATTTCTATGTAATTTTGACGAAAACATGAAAAAAACTCCACAGAACTAGTTTATTTTGAGTATTTTGATAAAATCTTGATATGTATCATACTTTTTTTTCGATTGTTTGTTGATCATATCTATATATGCATTATGATATATCTATGAAGGATGTCCCAAGATTAGTCTTTAATAGCATAGTTAATATATAATTAGTCTAAAGTCGAATCCATATAACTCACATTTGAAAAACATACTTAAATACGTCTGTGTCTTAGTTACTATGACTAAGATATCCGTTGACTTTGTCAATATGAACATGTGAATTTGCAAAAAATTTTACTAGAAGTTTTGCTTGAATTGATCAACATCTTAAACTCATTGTTCTTAAAACGAATCTTAACTTTGTCGGTGAGTAAAATAAATATTAAGAGACTGATCTTTTGAATTATTTATATGATAGATGATCATAAGATTTTATATGAACCTTTATTTATGTTTTCTACACTGATATCAATCTTTGAATGAGATTTTTTATTTGAATTATTTATTTATCATGTAAACCTTTTTCCTTTCATAAAAAAATTTTTTTGTAGCATGAACGTAATATAACATTACATTTCCTTTTGTATTCACTTCTTTTGTTTCTATCGGTATGTATCTATTTTACATGAAGTAGTTGATCATAATAGTCATTGGTGGGTAGTAACGTTGAATATTCTAACATAATTGAATAGAACTTCGTGTGCTTTTTTTTAATAGATTTCTCTTTTAGTTCTAATTATCTTTCAAATTTCATATAACGCTTTAAAGAAAATTTTTTCATCAATCATTTATTTTTTGTACACTGAAATAGAGGTGAAAGTCTTTCTTAAAAAATGAATGATATATCACAATATCATTTTAATATGCTGCATTACCATTTGTTCTTTATGCGGTAATTATGGTCTTCTCATTAAATCCTTATTTTAAAACAACCAAAATATTTGAATTGAATATTCATAAAACTGATCAATAAGCTATAGACCTCTTGAGTAGATAGTCAAGCTGAAATATTACTTTGAATTAAGAATAAAATATCTAATAAAAATATTAAATTAGTCATTCAGTTTTTCTTTTACAATAATACTAGTAATCATTTTGAATTATGATAAATTACAGATGTCGCTTATAATTAGATATACATATATATACTGCTATTGCATGAACAGGATCTTTGTATAAATTAGATCTTAATCAGTAAATCTAAATTTCTTTTTTTTTAATTGCAAATATTACTCTAGTTTTTTTGAGTTTTATCATAAAGTTTTTATTGATTGGTTAACATAAACTCTATATAGCAACACGTCAATAGTAGGAAAATGAAATAAACTCTATTTATCATATTTATTTTCTTGACAAATTATTGCATATAAATATAAATATGATATATATCAATTCTAGACTTAACATTTCCTATATTGTGGCTGTTTAAATATTATTCGACTATGAAACGTAATGCCTTCAACAACAGATTCAATAACATCGAATGATCAATGTGAACATTGTCATAGTGCCTATACACTAATTAAAAAAAAAGTAAAATTTAATCAATCAAATATGATTGATTTTGTTTTGTTTTTTATTTTCAGAAAATTTGTGCAGTTTGTCGTCAATATTATTGTGGAAATTGTGCACCACGTGAACGTTATCTTAATCATTCCTACCGTATTTGTCTTATTTGTCAATTAATATCTAATAATTCTACAACAAACGATCAATTACTTGAATTAAAAGTAAAACATTTAAGAAATTATTTACAAGCAAAAGACATTCCTCACAATACTTGTACAGAAAAACAAGAACTTGTCGATTTAATAATACGTAGTCGACATTTACCATTTTCACGTTTACTTAATCAACAAACAGAAACTTCACCAATAACAAATAATACAAATCAAGAACAAAATCATACAACATTTAATCAAACTTCAACATCAAATAATTCTTCTCCATCAACATCAAGAATGCATTCATCAAAATCTGGACCATTTTCAAATTTTCAACAAACAGTATCATCATTTGCTAATCAAGTGAATAATTTTGCTTCAAATATACAAGATTATGTTGCAAATACAGTATCTGATGTTATGAATCATACACTTGGTGATCAACCACAACAGGCAACAACAACAACAACAACAACAACTTCTCATAATTCTAACCGTGGAGCATCATCTAATAATTCTTTTCCATCACCTGGAAGTTCTACTCACACAACAACAAATAGACCGGCACCATCTAATACACAACAACAACAACAAAGACCTTCACCATCGGGCTCAGCAACTGCTAGTTCGAATTCGGTTGGTTAATTGTGTGTTGATTTTATCGAAAACATATTTATTTATTTTTAGACTGCAAATCAACGAGAACGTCGAAAATCTCTAAGTGAAATAAATAATGAAGAAAATATTGAAGACTTCAGTATTCGTGAATTAAAAGAACTTTTAGCAGCAAATTTTGTTGATTTTAAAGGATGTATCGAAAAAAGTGAATTAATTGATAAAGTTCGACGGCTCTATCGTGATCGACAAAATGAAAAAAATAAAGGTATATTAATCAAGTTTTCTCTCAATTTAAATTGAAATATTTCTTTTTTTTCTCGTTTTTTTTTAGCAAAAGAACTTGGTGATATAACAGCAGGTGATAGTGAACTATGTAAAATATGTATGGATGCCATCGTTGATTGTGTCTTCTTAGATTGCGGTCATATGGTAAATTGATATACAATAAAAAATTGAATAGTACCATAAGAAAATAGGATAGTGGAAAGATGTTTTACATAAAGAAAAATAATAAATAATTAATTATTTTCAGTAAGATTTTATTCTGAGAGCTGAGCATAACATTTTCGAACTAATCCGTCTACTTCCAATCATTGAAAGTTGATGGATTTTGATTTTTTTTTATTTTCAATAGTGTTATGTTAAATCAATTTTGGCAATATTTTTACACAAAACACTGAGTATGGATGTTAGGATATAAATTAGGATGTTTTATTTTGAAAGTTTGAATAAATATAAAAATCCTACTTTGTTTTTTAATTTTTGTTTAGGTAACATGCGTCAAATGTGGTAAATTACTTGCTGAATGTCCTATTTGTCGATCGAATATTGTGCGTGTAGTACGCGTTTTTAAATCATAAATTGTATTTTTGTCGTACAAAAAAAGTAACTTTTTTCTTTTTTTTTTTGTTTTTGTATTTATACATCTTCTCTTTGAAAGAAAAATATTTTTTCTCTTGAACTTTGATTAAGATCATCTATAATTTAAAATCGAAGGCATTGAAAGAGATCATAACTAAAATTATGTCTAAGATTTATCCAGTAGAATAGTTTCAAAGAAAAATTGGTCACATCTCTCCATAAATTTCATAGTGTACTACATGACACCATCTAATAACATATTGAACATACATAAATATGTATCCATCTGGTGTTGTGTTATATTATGTCATGGTAATTTCATTTATTTTAATTTCATCATTTGTAACTGTACTTATGTATTATTTTCAACATATTACAAGGTTGAATGATATCATTTGAAAAAAATCAATTGACTATTTCAAAATAAGACTTTCGTAAGTTTGTAAGTATCATAACTTATTAAGCTAATGAATAGTTATTATTCTTTTTGTAAATAATTTTTGCTTTTGTGCTTTCTCTCTAATATATAATAGTCGTCTATGTATTGTTTATTCTGTTGTATTGTTCATACATTATTCGTTGTCGTGAACATTTGCTGATCGATGTTTGTCAGCAGCTATGCTTTGTAGGATACTGGAGAGATGAAACCGAATATTGATTAATGATATCTGTCTTGGAGTTACGAACAATGCATAAAAGAATTCAACAAATATTTCGGTATGTTGCTATTAGATTATTATCGAATACTCATTCAGGTTAGTCAAGAATTAACATAAGAATCTGTCCCTACGGAAGCTAAAAATATATGAAATTAATTGAAATAGAGAATTATATCTGAAGAAGAGATTGCCTTGGCTATGGATTACAAAATATTATTATTTTGTTTTTCGGTTTAATCAAATGATCATTTAAGATTTTATTATAAATACTTAAAGGCTAAATTGATTGAGTAATATTAAACAGGTATTATTTTTTTTTGAATCTATTAACTAATCAAGTGGAAGTGTGCAAATCTTAAAATATTTTTCGTTCTTTTTGGCTTAAGGGTATCCCTCTCACCGTTTTGTGACTGAAAATTTATGCTTTTTTGTTTTTTTTCTATGGCAGTAATATAGTCGCAAGTAGTATCTATTTACTGAGCGTCTTTAGGAATCTAATAATTCTCTTTAAACGTAGAAAAATTCGAGAAGAAATCAAATTAAAGAAAACTATACATAGTTTCGCGTTTCTATTAATTATTAAGAAATATATTTCTTCAAAAATTAATCTATATATATTTTGTTTTTAATTGATTTATATAGTTTGATTACATAAAATGATATTTTATTATTTGTAGACAAATAATGCCTTATTCATATCCTAGAAAAGATCATCTAAAAATTGATAATAAAGATATATCTGTTCATTTTTCGTCAAATAATTCAAATAATGAATTATTATTATCAACTAGAACATCTGATTCATCATCAATTAATTCATTAATCAGTAATGCATTAATATTAAATGAATCATCTCAACAACAACAACAAAAACAAGTTTCTAATCAACGTATTATACAATCATGTTTTTGGTCAATATTTATCTTTTTAATCAATTTCATTTCATCAATTCTTGTTATTAATTTATCTAAATGGTAAAAAGAAAGTATTGAAAAAAAAATCTTTTAGAACTTTTTTCTCTAATAGGATTTATGTTAAACATCATTTTCCAAATTTAACATTGACAACAATAAGTTTTTTTATTTCATTTTTTCTTCTACTTCTTTGTCTACAAGCGAAATTATTTACATATATACGTTTACCAATTCTAAAAATGATACCTGTATCAATATGTTTTGGTGGTTTTATTGCATTTAGTAATCTTTCGTTACAATATAATACTGTTGGAACATATCAACTTATTAAGTTACAAGTTACACCAAGTAAGTTAGCATATGATTAAAATCCTTATTTTATTTAGGAAATCCTTAAAAGTGGAAAGTGCTCTGGAAATCACATGATTTATCTTTTGAGTATTTTGAGTTATCTCTCAGATTTGATAGAAAATATTGAAATAAAAATTATGCAATCCTAAAACATAAAATGTCAGCAGAGAAAATGTCGAAAAAAATAGATCTTCATAGACTATTTATTTAAATAATCTCATCTATGATTATATGTTACTTTGAGATAGTTAAATCAACAACTTCTTATAAATAGGATAATAGAGGTGTGCTGTAGAAAGAATCCAAAGAAAAACTAGAATGTGGTTGTGCCGTATACATGTCGATTATAGTTTTCTTTTCACTTACACTTACAACCACCCTGAAGACATCACTTTGTTTAGTTTAGTTTTTCAAAACTGATTCTAGACAGTACAGCTTATAAAAATTGAGCTTATTTGTAGGGAAAAAAAATAAAAATAAGTTTTTTTTGACGTTTTTTATCAGAACTTTCTTCTTTTCTTTGATCAGAGTTCGTCGGATCCAAAATTTTCGAATTGAGGTCTAGTTTATTCAATGAATAGATTTGAATTGAAAAAAAAACACTAATGACTATGTGAATACGAGTCAAGCTAAAGACTGAATTGACGAATTTTGAGTTCTTAAAATGTCAGTTATGGTATAAACTATAATTTTCCATCTCATATATAATGAGTTACATATAATCTTGTTTTGTTGTATAGTCGAATTCATGTGAAAACAAATGTTTTTATTATCATTTAAGCATTTCCGATCACATTGATAGAAACGAATTATTCATTTATATTTTCACATATTAGAATGTTCTTTTTTGTAGCTGTGATGCTTATCAGTTGGTTATTTTTTAAAGCACATTATCCAATACCAATCTTTCTTTCTTTTGTACCAGTTCTTATTGGAACATTAATAAGTACTTACTATGATTTACAATTTAATACGTTTGGTCTTTTCTGTAAGAGTTTTTTTCTCGAAATATTGTTTCATTTTTATTATTTAAGGTGCCCTTACATCTGTATCATTTACTGCTATTTATCAAATACTTGTTGAACATTATCAAAAAGTATACAATTGTGATGCATTACAATTATTATTTTATCAAGCACCACTTTCTGGTTTATTACTTTTATTTGTTGTACCATTTTTTGAACCTTTAAGTAATTTGAAAAAGTTTATGAATTATGATACAATTATGCTGATATTACTTTGTGGTATTATTGCTTTTTTTGTTAATATTAGTATTTTTTGGGTTATTGGTAATTTATCTGCTGTTGCTTATAATATGATTGGACATTCAAAAACTTTATTAATTATACTAGTTGGTTCAACTTTATTTCATGAATCATTTAATCAACAGCAAATGTTTGGATTAGTTTTTACGATGTTTGGTGTTGTTATTTATTCTTATTTTAAATATTTTAGAAAAATCATGAAATAATTATAATGTAAATAAGTTATATTCCGTTTCTAGTCAGAAATATCTACGTGTATACAATGAATATTATTGGGCTAGTGTGATAATATGTTTTTTTTTTGTTATTCAGATTCTTTTTCTTTTTTTCACTGATCAATCATTGAATGTTACAGGATTTATTGGAAGTAATAATAAAAAAAAACAATGTTCAATACACATTTGAAATGTTTTACAATTATTGAATGGCAAAAAGAAATGTGAATCATGGAAAATTGATAGGTGATCTATATTGATATATGTTTCAACCTATTGAAAAAATGATCTTGCGCTCACTTCTGAATCAGATATGTATTAGAATATTTCGTGTAACTTTAACACACCCCCCTTTCGAACTAACACTTGTTGATCACCTAAGGTTCCTACGAACTTCCGTCTGATAAAATAGAAATAATATACTATATAACTGCTATTTTATAATTGAACTAAAATGGTTGTGGAGAAGGGTTCAATTTAAGAAAAAGAAACAGAATACCAGTTAATTTGAATGATATTTGTTCAATCTTCTTCTACTTGTTTACCATTCTATAATCTCAAAATATTTAAAAGTGTGTATTGCACATGAAGCATTGATGCGTATTCTAAGAAAATTGTGTACTTTAACGACGATTGTCTCCTAATAAAGCAATGATTTGGGAATGAAATATTTATACATACGTTGTATTCTGCTTAAGCTTCTGTGTTGACGTATTCTACTATATGTCTCTAGAGTATGATTGGAAGAAGAAGATCCTATGTAAGGTTACAATTACAAAGCATTAAATAGAATCTCTCTAGGAAGCGTGTAGAGTGTGGGTGTCGATGAAGAGGATATTCACCTTCACATCCACATCCTATTTCTTCACCACTTTCAAAAATTTTCCATGTCGTATGCTGCCATTCGGTTCAGCATCATAATAATTTTGATCCATTTCTATAGGTTCCTCAATTGTAAAGAACAAAAGTGCGCCTCTAACAGCTGCTCGTCTCTCTGTCTCTTCTTCCTGAGCATAGTCACAGAAAAAGATCGGATGTTGACTAGGGCATGTCCATGTATAGATTAGATCCTCCGTAGACATTGTATCTTTCATGATTTCGAGAAAAAACTTTCTCATGAGCAAACTTCGTGGTACGTTTCGATCGTCAACTATCCATGCTGTTTCGTTCGAGCGACAGGCTGCTTGGTAAGCAAGGTTTGGTATTTGTTTTGCTTTCAGATCATCAATCCAACTTCCCGAATAGCATGTATCGGAGATGATGGTCAATGCATCACGCTCTTCTCGATTTGCTGATGTCCAGAGGTTGATCAATTCAGCACAGGATAACATTTCACCTTCTGAAAACGACCAATTTCCAGTATTCGGCTCTCCATGACCACACCAGTAAATAATAAACGTGGTTGCTTGTTCGTAAGCCATGCCTCTTTGTTGTCGTTCGATTTCGTCAAAAGTGAACAAGGCGCGAATGCATTCAATAGTATTGGACTTGGAACAGTGCAGGGTGGTGGGTATACTTTGCCAGACTGTGGCACCTGTTCGTTCGAATAGTGATGTCAAAGCACGAAAGTCCCGTTCCCACAAGAAATTATCTTTTACCACATCTTTCTTTGTGCGACGCGTTTCATCATCACGACGGTGACCATGGTGAACAATACGAACACCACCAGCGCTTTCATCATAAATTGAACCACCGAGAAGAAGAGCCACACAACGTTCTTTACTACTGGTGGAAAGTGCCTTTTGCTTCTTCCATGGCATATTTGATAGTATGTACGACTTTGTCGAATAAAGTTACTTTTTATATAGAGTACTTTCATAAGTCCTGAGGCATGTTATGACGAAATTTATTGTAGCAAACAGTTATCAAACACATACCCCATTAAAATAGTTATTGATATCTGTTAACATGCAATATCATTAACAGGACATGTTGAATGTGAAAAATTCTTGCATTCAATGGATGAAAATAAGTTGTTGCAAACATCTATCACTACTTCAACGTTTGAAAATTTTCGATTAGAATGGAAAAGTAAAATTCTTATAGAAGACAGTAATAGAAGTTGATTCATTCATGGTATGACTTCAAATCCATGTGATCCTTGGGGTTAAAAGTATTGCAACTACAGATTAACACAAAGATAATGAAAACAAAATGGATTGTCTGACTCCCTGTTTTTCTATTTTACAATACCGATCAATACATTTAAAACCTGTAGAGATGAAAATGTTTTTTTTTTATTCTTATCTTTCTTCTGTTTTATAACATACTACGTCACTGTCAGTGACCTTTTATTCATTCTCCTACAAGGTATCTGCAGAAAAGAGCAAAACAAAAAGACAAGTCACAGTTGAATGTGAGTGTACACGTGAATCGATTTCTCACTCACACCCATACTTCATGTTATAGCCAAAATCAAGAGTATTTCATTTTATCCTTTCTCTTAATCTGTTGTGCAGTTAACTTCGCTGCATATAGAGAAAATTTGTTTATCAGATAAACGAATGTAAATATTGAATTGACGATGAAGAAACTGAAATAACAAAACATGTTTTATGAGTTTTTTTTGTCTGATATCACTTGCTAATGTGTCTTAAGATACTATAAGTCGTCATCTCTTTAGAATAATTTAGTATATCAAGTATTCTGATTTAGTCTTTAAATTTTTAGTACTTCTGTCAAAATCGTTTACTTTGGTATAGGCAACTTAAATACATGTGAAACGATGGCACATTACTGATTATTGTAGTCTTTCATTTGTACATGTACTTTTCAGTGTAAAATAAAATTATCATGTTTTAGTTTTGCTGCTCATGTCAGCAGAGATAAAGAAGAAACGAATAGCTGTAGTGAGATATTACTAATATGTTTCTATGTATAATATGGCATCTCATAAGTTTTGGGTTCATTTTGATTGTTTTTGTAGTCTTTGAGTATATGAAATTGAACAATCATAGAGTATATATGTTCAAGAGTAGCATATAAGTGATTATTCAAAATTCATTATATGTAACTAATCTATTTGCTCAGAGAGTACAATACTACTGAAGTACAGACTTAGAATTTGTCGGACTTTATGCATATCAGCTGTAATAGTATCGTATGAAATTTGCCGTTCACTATTCACATAATTTGCATACATTCACTTTGAGAAACATGTGACAACGTATAACTTTGTAGAAAAAGTTAAACGGATTCCCACATCCAAATAGGCAACATTTTGTTTGCTAAGTTCTTCGAATTTTAAAGACTTTTTAACATTAGTTTTTTGCATTAAATGGGCATATATTTTTTACGGACAATATGGTGCATTTTTTGCATAAAAGACTTGACTGGAACTGTTCTGAAATTTCTTTGAAAGGTGTATTCTGTCGCTTTCAAGTTAGCTTTCTCAAATCTCCGAGCTACGCGACATAAAAAAATTTTGACAGACCCTTTAAAGATTTCTCAAGAGTATGCAGAGAGCGATAATGAATAATTATCAGAATCGATGTTGTTTTGGGTACATGGAGATCACAACAGCAACACTACAAGCTAGAATGTTTACAAATGTAGCTGTCAATCTCGAATCATTGTTTTCTGGTTTGACTTGATGCTATGGTCACTGATACTCAAGAAAACATTGAAGCCCAAATAATACTTCGCTGGTCGATTAATCATTTGAAAACATTTAAAGATAAGAACAAGTGTGAACAATGCATTCGGTCAGTATCTGAAGGAGACCGAATAGTATTGATTGTTAGCGGAAAATTAGGTCAAGAGATAGTCCCTTCCATCCATGAACTTCGTCAACTCTCTACGATTTATCTTTATTGCTTCTACCAGCAATTAAACGAAACATGAGCGAGGCATTTCACTAAAGTATGCAAGCGCACTTTAATAATAACAAGTCAGGAGTACTTATGAATCCTAAAATTGATTGTATTTTCAATACAAAACACTGTAAAATGTGTTCAAAATCAAGATATTAACGCATGTGAAAGGTTCTTTCAACCAAAATTCTCGTTTGGTAGAAGTGTCTTCATTCGACTCTTCTTCACGTTAACGCCTACACGAATGCCATTCGATTCCTATCAAAATTAACGAAACTAGATAGTGACTTGAAGCTGAAGAGAGAGATACAGAGAAAGAAACAGACAGTGCTTATTGAAGCTAGCATATATGAACGGCTAAAAGACTGCTGAAGACATGTCACTAAAGTGCTGTTAACGTTATCACAGGATTTGATACTTGCAAAAAAAAACAATTTTCAGCTGTTAAATAGAGCTACAATAGTTTTCGAAGTGATCATCAAGCTTTGTGAATCGAACGTACGATAAGCATTGGGGTAGAGACTATTTGAAAACTCTTCTTTTGTCGTTCTTTTCGAAACACTTATTAGCTCTTATGAATATATTATTTTCTAACGATGGATAGGTTCGGCTAGTTATCATGACTTCTACCAATGTATACTAGAGTATATACAATGCTGCTGAGAAGTGTAAAAAAACAAAGTTCCTTTCAATGTTCACTTTTGATTCTAGCCTTTTTCACTTCTTGAATCGATCATCGTATCCTCAAATATGCATTCAAGTACACTTTATCTAAATATCGTACAAGTGTAACTGTATCCAAAATACTAATTTGATATGATACTTTCAAGCTATTTTGACGTGACTGATGAATTCTAATTATCAGTCCAAATAGATAAAGTCTACCAATATCACATACACTCTCATTAATGATATTTGCAGATCAATTCTTTTATACTCATTTTAAATATAAGCTATTTGTCATGTCTCAAAGAACAAAACCTGTTAGATTGTATAAGTTTGCTCCATGATTCTATATATTACTGATGTATCTCTTATCTATATAATGCCGAGTTTTACTTTATTGAATCAATAGAAAATAGTCAGACTTATTAAACAAAGAGTAGGAGAAGCATTCGATGAAAAAAATTGTTAATTGAGGGCCGGAAATTCGGATGTTGACTTGAACACAAATCGGAA